CCGGCAGGCCCCTTCTGTCGTGCAGCTGGGTGCTGCTTTGGTCGTGCAGGGCCCGCGCACACCCAGGGGTGTTCTGGAGGGCTTGCAAGGCAGGGGCCTCTCACTCCGATGCAGGACTGCAGGTGGCAGCAGGCTAGGGCACTGCTGGACATGAGACAGGCCAAGGGGCAGTGAGGACACTGTCAGCCCGAGGCCCTGTGCACTTTGAACCTGTGGGCTAGCGGGCGATGGGAGGACCCTCGGTTCATCCTCATTCCCTGAGGCCCACTGCACACAGGACCCTCTGCCGGGCGTGAGCCCGTGCAGGTGGCCCACGTAGGTCAGTCGCGGTCCCCTGAGGGCTCACGGCCTGGTGTGGAAGGTGAAATGGGTCCTGGAGGTTCAAATGGGCTGGAGGTCACAGGAAGGAGAGCGGCAGGGGCTCACGGGGGGGCAGCCTCGGCTCCTGGGGGCCCCTTCACCCTACGGTGCCTGCACTGCCCCTGAGAGGAACGCGGTCCAAGGGTTGCCAGGCAGTGGAAAGATTTGGGTTCTTGGAGGAGCTAAAAATACAGTGTGGCAGCCCCTGCCTCCCCGCGCCGGAACCCTGCCGCTGCCATCTCGCCCGCCCACCCGGGAGACAAGCTCGCTCTCTGCACCCGCCCCCGCCGGCGCTGTGCCCAGAAGCACCCCAGTCCCTGTGCTGATGTTGGCAGGGCCACCCCGAAGTTGCCTCCCCATGCCAGGCAGCTGGCTTTCCTCACAGGTCCCCAGCCCATGCCTTCCCTGGCCCTGCCCCCACCCCTGGTTCCCCAGAGCCCCTCGCAAGGGTGCAAGCTCTGAGCCCCCCACCGTGCCACATTGCTCAGAGCACTGTGGGCCCATGCCCGGTGCCAGCCTCCGGCCTGCCCGCCCGCCCTCTGTGGCTTAGTTTCTCCATCCGAGCAGCAGGACCTAGGTAGCTGATCTCTGGAGTCTGGGGGGCCAGCCCCCCCAATCCACACACCCTGCTTGACAGACAGCTGCCAGGCAAGGCGGCGGCTCCTGTGAGTCAGAGAAGCTGCGCAGGCATGTGGGCACCCAGACGGAGGTGCCAGCACCGCGGTGCCAGGCTAGGCAGACATAGGCCAGGGAGCAGACGGGTGTCTCAGGAGGTGACCAAGAGGCCCAGTGGCCTAGCCTCCTCCAGGTCCTCGATGCAGCCCCTGTGTGGGAGCAGGGCCACCAGGTCGGTGGGCTGACTCCACCCAGTGCAAACCCCACGTTATTGGCAAAAAAGGTGACAGATCTCACTAATGTCAGAGCCTCACGGTCTCCACCCGCAAAGGCCCCTGCCCGCCGGTCCCACTGGTGCAGGGGGAGGGGCGCACTGCCTGCCGACGGGGTGCAGGAGGGCCCCTGACCTTTCAGCTGGCCTGACCTGCGGGTACTCCGACCCTGGGAGCCCCAGATGGCCCAGTGGTGCTGGCTGTAAAAAGCTCTGCCAATGCGAATTCCTACGCTGCGCGCTGGGCAGGCGGGCCCCGCCCCTCAGCCGGGAGCGGCGAGAACAAGGCGTTCCGGAGCTCGAGGCCCCGCCCAGGGCAGGCTGGCCACGCCCCAGGCGGACGCCGAGCCCCGGACCTGCTGCCCCA